CAGGGCTGTAGGAACATCCCTCAAGTCTTAGTTGTAGGATTCAGTCAGTTTGTCTGCATTACTTCAGCCCATGGGATGAGTCTGGCTCCAAACAAAGCTTTTAGTGTGCATAAATATTCTCTGTTACTAACTGAATAACCTCTTCTGTTTGTTTATGTTCTTTTCCAGTTCCACTCTGTGACCCTAGTATCAATGTCTGGTTTTGTCTCTGTACTACTTGGTGCATTATCACTCTGGGTTTTAAAGCAGAACTTGTTGCTCCTCTGTGTCATGTTGTGGGTGGTCTCAGTCCATCCGTTACTTCCTCGTCCAGGGAGAGGTGAAGTTCACACGAGACCCACATCCATTTGCTCTCTGCAGCGGGAAGCTTTGGTAATCGTGTAAACCATAAGCAGGCTAGCCTGAGAAAGATCTAATGGCAGGGTCATGCCACTGCATTTCTGGCCTCCCCGTCCCTTGTAGCTTATTGTCGCAGACACAGTGACGTAGTGCTTCAGGAATCCACTCTGCAGCTGTCTACTCAGCTTTCTACAGCACTCAGCACAAGGTTGTAGTGCAGAAACATGTCCTTTATGGTAGATCTGTGGAGTTTTTTTCACCACTCTGATACAAAGTAGGATAATCTCCTTTTATGTGGTACATCTTTAGACTTTTGCTCTGCAAAACTTGCAAAGAAAGAACAAGAAAATAGCTTCTGTGCTTAGACGGGAAATATGAAGAGACAAACGGGGCATGTTTTTTGTAAAGAGACTGGTAGGGAGATGGCTAGACAGAAACTGGAGTGAGGGGACTGCTGTGAGGGGCCTGGGGTGATGTTTGTTGGATATAAGGGGTCATTGTGGTTTGTCTCGCTGTCAATCATGCACACTCCGATTTCCTTTGTTGTCTGTGAACTCAATGCCCCTGAGGAACCTGTGGCTGTCCTTCCTCTTTGTGTTACAGTGTGGGAACTTTGCCGTGCTGGTGGATCTCCACATTCTGCCCCTGGGCGGCCAAGAGGACACCAGCTGGTTTACTACGGACCACATCGAGGTACAGACACAGGGACAAGGGTGTGAATAAGGGTGTGTGTGAATATGTGGCTTCTGTTCTGATGGAGGCCTTTTGAAAGACAGCAATAGCGTGGAATCTAAAGTGACTCTGAGCCTTCTGTCATCCTTTATTAGGGGGCTTCATTGTTGCAAACTGTTCCCATTTCTCCATTTCTACTATCCTGTTGTTTGCCTTTGCTCTTTGTTGGTATGTACTTGTAAAGTCAAATGAACATGTTTGTTCTCTTAGCATTTCAACAACATGTTGTACTGACATATCTTCATACTGTTTGTAGGAGGTCACATTACTCATTCGAGATGCTGTGGACCAGAGGGTTAAGCAGCACACAGTCTCTCTCCGTAATAGAAGACAGCCCAACCAGAAGAAGGAGCTGGCACCTGCTTCTCCCTTTTTTGTGAGAGGTAACGGCACCTTGTGTCCCTCATTACTCTGCACACAAGCCACATGTTCCAGTATTGTAATTTATCACTTTACAGTCTGTTATTGTGTATAATAATGGCCTCTCCATGTGTTTACTTGGAGGATTAATTTATTTTTTGTTTTGGGGTCCCTGATAGACTAGTGGCTAAGATTCAGCGCTCTCGCTGCTTCACCCTGGGTTCGATTCAGGGTTGCGTCAGGAAGGGCATCCATCTTAAAACATGTGCCAGACTTCACCATGCGAGTCGTCAGTGTGACGATTCGCTGTGGCGACCCCTCGCGGAAACAGCCACAAGTGTATTATTATTATTAATTTATTTTTTAGTTATTGAGTACACACCATGTTTATTTTGTACAGAATTCATTGTCGCTCATTCCTCTGGAAGGTAGTCACCTTTGTCTTCCCTTTCCTTTTATTAGGTGTGTCTGTCATAAATTCTTGAATAAGTAAAATAGTTTATTTTGTCAGTGAACTCAAAACCATTATTTATTCACATCAGTTCAAGAGACATGGCTGTTTGTGTGTGCATGGAGGTCGATCACTTAGCTCTATTAGCAGGATTGGAAAGAGTTACAAAACAGTATTTCAAAAAGTATTTCATGGCTACCTTTTGAGGAGAGTGTGGGTGGAAAGGCAGCAGAACTAGTTGGGGCACGGTAGCTCTCTACACCCTGGGTGTGACCTGTGGAGGCAAGTGCTTTTTATATTGTGTTGCACTGTTTAACTTGGCATGTCTCGGATGCATTTGTACATGCATGTTAAGATGGCTAGTGTTTGTAACCCTTCTGTTTAGAGTGGTGTTAGCACAACTGTGTTTATCTGCACTTATATTTAACCAAATGATACCAAAAACAGTCTTCTTGACACTTATACACATATGACCTTATACACAGAGAGAACAATCAATAATTGTGACAGTGTGAACACATCAGCTAAGTTTGTCCTTATTTATCCAGTTTGAGTACATTTTCAACAGGCCTTTGAGGCACCTAAAGCCTAGCTTTAGAGGTACCCCGAGCTGTGTGTTAGAAGGCACTCAGGTTTGTCACAGGTAGACAGTTAAAGTGGCCTCACTCAGCAGGGCAGCCTTGACTGCGAGAGTGGGCTCACAGGGCAGTCAGCCCCATAAAGTTTCTCTTGCGGCTGCAGCTCTGCCTGTCACGGTACATCCCTCCACTTAAGTCTTCACATCCACTGGGCTTTTATGTGCGCATTTGTTTTCAAAAAACAGATGCATGCATATACGTTATCCAACTTTTATTCTTTTCTTAAACATATAGTCTCAGTATAAGCTGACATACTGTTTGCACACATGCATGTGTGCACATCCACAGGCTCTCATACACATCACAACCAGTGAGAATCAGAAGGACCGATACCGTGATGGAGTGATATATTCTCCCTCTGGGCTAGGTGTGAACAGACTGACAGTGTAAGGTTACTGAAAAGCCTGACTCATATTCCCCTCGACAGGCTGAGGAGAGACAGACATCTCAAATGATGGAGAGCACAGACTGAGGCTCCACACACACACTTGCACACATTTACTCCACTGTGTGAATGAGGAGGATTTCATCAGTGAAATATGCATGTAAAAATGATTAAGCTCATTGCAGCGTTGCCAAAACAAATGTAACAAGTGGAATATGACTCCGTACCATATCAGAGAATTTTCTCCTCTCAGAACAAGAAAAAGGCATAGTGCCTCAGACTGGCCTATACTCTTCATGTGCTCTAGTCTTAATAAAGGTCTTAAGTGAGTGTAATGACATTGTCTTTTCGTTGTCTCATGTGAGGGAGGCAGCAGAGCAGTAAAGATGGAGACTGTTACTGAGAAGTGTGCATGCAGACAGGAGCCAAAAAAAGGGGACAGACTATAGGCTCAGGGTGGGAAGCTCAGCAAACCTCAGGGTGGGTATTAAGTATTGGGGTCGTATCTTCTTCAAGCAGGTCAAATGCTAAGCTGCTAATCCTCACATACAGGACATGCAGACTGTCCATAGTAAAGGGTGGGTGCTTTTCTGCTTGTATCTGTTTCATCAGAAGACCTGTGTGTGTGTGTGTGTGTGTGTGTGTGTGTGTGTGTGTGTGTGTGCTGTGTGTGCTGTGTGTGCTGTGTTATGTTACTTGAGAGCAGAACTAAGCTGGATATCCTGGAGTGAGACATATGTATGTGCTGCAACACGTGCACATGCTGTTGCGTACAGGGGTAGGTGTTGCGCAGGGTAGGACTGATGTCTGGGCCAAGAACAGGCGGATGGGAGTATGGTGCTGTGTGTGTGTGTGGGATGGCATAGGAGAAGGGTTTGTGGGTCTTGTATGAGGCAGCGTTTGAGCTGGTGCCAGTGTGAAATCACAGGGGCTTCTGCCAACAGGCAGTTGTAAGAACAGCATCACGGCCTCAGCTGTTGGCACTTCAAATGAGCCATCAACAGCCTTTAACATTCCAAGGCCCTTCAGTGCAAGTGTTTGTATCTGAATTATCTCTGTGGGTTATTGTATTTATGTATGTATGCTGTGTTGGGTTTGTGTGTGTGTATAGCACCCAGTGAACATGTCAGAGGGGCTTATCCCATGAGTTCTGCCAACATAAATCCAAGCCATTTCTTCAAATCTCAACTGCAGAGGCCAATTTACAACTGTCACCCAC